CTTAATCTAATTCTTCTTGAATAACAACAAACTCTATTTTAGTCTTTTTTTTTCTCTCTTTTTCTCTGTCTTCTTTTGCATGCAAACAACATATTCTATAGTAGCTGCAAATAAAAATAATATAATATATATTATTCTCTTTTTATTTGTACAATAACGTACAAATCAAACAAAAACATTTATTCTTTATTTTTTATTGCAGGATTCAGGTGTATGGACATTGAATATTTAAACACATCTTATTAATAAACCTAATGCAGATATAGAAACATTATTCATTTAAACCAAATAATATATGCTGTCTCTGTTGCTATTCTTCTTTTTCTTTTTATTTTCTATGTGCCGCTTGCGTTGTTTGTTTTGCTGTCCTTGGATGCCTCTTCATCTACTGCTGTTTCTAATTCGCAGTGAGAGAACAAAGACAGAAACAGAGACAGAAATAAAATAAAAAATAAACACAAAGACAGAGACAGACAGACAAAGACACAAACAGAGACAAAGGTGGAGACAGAAACAGACACAAAGACAAAAACAAAGAAATAAAATTAAAAATAAAGACAGAAACAGAGACAGACACACAAACAGAAATAGAGACGAAGACAGAGAGAGACAGAGACAGAAATGAAGACAGAGATAAAGATAGAAACAAAGACAGAAGCAGAAACAGAGACGAAGACAGAGAGTGAGGAAGAGACAGAGACAGAGCAGAAGCAAAAACAAAAAAAATAGAATTAGAAACAGAAACAGAAACAGAGAGAGAGAGAGAAACAGAGACAGAAACAGATACAGAGATAGAAACGAAGACAGAAATTGAGACAGATGAAGACAGAAACAGAAATAGAAATAGAAACAAAAACAAAGACAGAGACAGAGACAGAGACGAAGACAGAAACAGAAGTATAGACGAAGACAGAAACAGAGACGAAGACAGAGAAAGCGAAAGAGACAGAGACAGAGATAGAAACAGAAACAGAAATAGAGATGAAGACAGAAACAGAAACAGGAATAGAGACAGAGAAAGAGACAGAAGCAGAAATAGAGACAGAGACAGAGACAGAGACAGAAGCAGAAGCAAAGACAGAGACAGAGACAGAAACAGAGACAGAGACAGCAGAGACAGAGAGAGAAACAGAGACGAGGATAGAAGCAGAAATAGAAACAGAGACAGAGACAGAGACAGAGACAGAAACAGAGACGATGATAGAAGCAGAGACAGCAAAATTTTCTTCTGCTTCTTCACCTGACCGATGTTTTTGTTTTGAGGTTTAATTTAAATTATTAAATAATTAAATTATTTCTACGACTGGAGGCATCAGATACAAATTCCTGCACCATGATAAACTTCAAACCCGATTGCATGCATGCAGTAATTGCATGCATGCATCTTATATATTATAAACGATATATATATATATATATTATCCATACATATTTTATGTGTGTTATAAACAATATACTTAATATATGTACATATATATATATATTATATGTATAATATATAGATATATATAATCTATGTATATATATATATATATATACATATACATATACATATATACTGGATATATGGATATACATTTCTGTACATGAATATAATAAAATATTAAATATAGCTATATATATACATATAGATATATGTACATCTATATATATACACACACACATATATATATATATATATATATATACGCATATATGCATATATGGATCTGTATTTCTATACATATGTATGTGCACTGACATCTATATATATACATATATATATATATATATATCTATATATATGTATATATCTATATACATATATAACCATATACATGTATATACTCAAATAGATATATATGCATATATATATTTATATATTTATATATTTATATATTTATTTATTTATTTATATATTTATTTATTTGTCTGTTTAAAGCCATTGCTGGGCTTTGATTTCGTCTGAAATTTTTCTGAGCAGCGATGTTGGGGACAGCAAAAACACAAATAAATAAATATAAATATAAATATAAATATAAATATAAATATATATATATTTAATACAGTATAATTATAATGTAAATAATAAATAAAATATATTTTTATATATATGCTACACTTGAAGACAAGCAGCGGTGTGCTGGTCGTAGCAGCAGATTTTTGTTTGTACAGAGACGCATGCTATTCTGCGGCATTAAAATATATTCATTGAAGTAATATTATATTAAATTAATAAATTAAATATGTTATTTTAATTTATTATATTTAAATAGTAAAGCGCTTTAATTGATTAGTAAAATCTTTTAGTTTTTCTTTAGAGAATAATAATAACACTCTGCTGCTGTTGCTGCTGCTGCATTGCTGCTGCTGCTGCTCAATGAAAGTATTTCTAAGACAGCAGCGAGAGCTCTTCATGATGATTGTTAATGTTTATGTTTTAATTTTGTTTGTTTATTGTGTTATTATTATATTTCTTTATTTCATTTACTCCTGTTGTTTGTTTTTGCTGCTGTTGTGCTGCTCTCGCTGTTTGTGCTGTCTTTGTTTTATTTATTGTCTTTATCTCTGCCTTTTCTGCTGCTTTTGTCTTCTTTTATTGTTGTTGTTTTATTGTTTATTATTTTAATTGTTGATGTTGTTGATGTATGCATTTATTTCTTCTTAAATATATATTTACATGCATATAACAAATATCTTCTTACCTACACGAAGGCGGCTGCTGCACAGCAAGACAGTTGCGAAGTGCTTTGAATTGTTTGTTGTTTTTGTTGTTATTATTATTATTTATATTATTATTAATGTATATATTTATTTTTTTAATTCTTTTTAACGCTGTATTCATACGCTTGGCCTCAACAAGGTCCTTGTGTGTGCAGCAGCCGGGGAAGACAGCTGGGGTACACGAGACGGAAATAAAATAAATAAATAAATAGATAAAAGCAAAAGAAAAAATAAATATTATTTAAAAATATAATATTATTCAATATATGAAAGGTGTATGTATGCTTTTCATCAGCAAAATAACAATATAATAATCTCTTAAGGGCTAGCATACATACTGCGTGTGTTCTGTCTGCAGCTTTTGCCTTCGCTTTTACAACGAAAATCTTCTTTTTAGAATTAAATAAAATAAATTATATAATTAGAATAAGAAAAAAAGAAAAATAAACATTCAAATATTCATTTATATCTACTTTATTATACCTTCAGAGCCCCAGCGCCTACACCCCCCGCATGCAGAGAATGATGATAGAAAAACAAGTTTTTTTTGTTTTTGTTTGCTTTTTCTGTTAAACTTTAAAAAGGTATTTTAATATGCAGCAAGAAAATTAAAAATAAACAATTTAATTCTTCGGCTGTTTCTACTGTCCTTGCTCCGGTGTATGTACAACTTGTGCGGCAGCCACACTGCGCTGAAGGGGGCTCAGACTTTTCTTTTTGATTTTGTTTAATTTCAATTATAAAACTTTCTTTTCACCGAATATAATGTAGATTTAAATGCAAAAAGGCGCGAGTTCTTCATAGACACGCGCCTTCTGCTTCTCTATTATCTCAGCATTTCTCTCTTCTTCTTTTCTTCCCAATCAACGCCGTCTTCATAATGAAAAAAACTCAGTCTGAGTCTATTAAAGTCTCTCCTCAAGCAGATTTAAATCTTTTACACACAGAGAAGGCTTCTGCGCCACCTGCTGCTGCTCTTGCTGCTTCTCAGGCTGCTCCTGATGATGCCGCTCTTGCTGCTGATGCTGCTGCTGATGCTGCTGCTGATGCTGCTGCAGCAGACAGCCCCAGCAATGCAACCCAAGGCCCCACAACTGTTTTGCTTCCTGCAGAGACAGTGCAGCAGCCTCACGACAGTGCGGCTGCGGCAGCATCAACTGGAGCTATAGAAACTGCAGCAGCAGAAACTGCAGCAGCAGAAACTGCAGCAGCAAAAAGTGCAGCAGCAGAAACTGCAGCAGCAGAAACTGCAGAAGCGAAAACTGCAGCAGCAGAAAGTGCAGCCGCAGCAGCTGCAGCAGCAGAAAGCGCAGCAGCAGAAACTGCAGCAGCAGAAACTGCAGCAGCAGCAGAAACTGCAGAAGCGGCAGCTGCAGCAGCAGAAAGTGCAGCAGCAGAAACTGCAGCAGCAGCAACTACTGCAGCAGAAACTGCAACTGCAGAAACTGCAGCAGCAGCAACTGTAGCTGCAGAAACTGCAGCAGCAGCTACTGCGGCAGCTGAAAGTGCTGCATCAGAAACTGCAGCAGCAGAAACTGCAGCGGCAGCAGAAACTGCAGCAGCAGCAACTGCAGCAGCAGAAACTGCAGCGGCAGCAGAAACTGCAGCAGCA